TCTATATTCGCTCAAGATCCTATGGGCTTAACGCCCGCAGCCATCATGGGGATCACAACGATGAAAAGAAACTTTGCGGTTGGTTTTGCAATCTTGGTGAACACGAAACCGAAGAGCACCAGTTACTTCGCTGTCCCGCTTTTCTCTCTGAGCGCTCTCTTCTTTGTGAGAACCTACAACGTCGTTCTTCTCCAGATTTCAACGCGGAATACCACGAGCTTTACAATGCATCCCCTGCTTCGCAACTTTATGACCTTCTAGGTCGGACGGAGGATCACTGGGCCCTACAAGAAAAACATAGAGTCTTGAATCTAACCTAATTCGTTTGGACATGATCGTTGGTAGCGGGGCCGTCCTCCAACGCCCCACAGGTACTGCCAGAGTCTTCTTAGTGAACCGACCACGTTTTAGCTTGTTCAATTGCTTGACTTCTTTCAGTTCCAATATCCGTTCAAGTTTGCCTTCCAGGCTTTGTCTCGTTGCCGATCTGTTTGTGCGGAAATGGTTGACCAGCCAAGAAATCAGAATCAATTGCAACATAGGAGTTTCGATATTCTTGATGGGGACTAGTGAAGCAGATTGACGGCAGGATCCCGGAATTTTCCTTCGAACACCACTCCTTCCATGAGATCTCTACGCTTATCTAGCTTGCAGTCTCTCTCACAAAGTTCTTCGGGTCACAGTTGAAAAGCTCAAGAGCAGCGCCCGACAATCCAGCTTGTCGCACTATACCTCTTGTTAGAAAGCAAGACGGTATTTGTGGAGGCAATGCGCAAACAGTCGTTCTGTGGTGAAAGTGCAGATTCTGTTGTTGGTTGCTTACGGTTTGGTCATGCGAAAAGACGTGCTTTGGCGAAGAGGACTCACTCTGTGGCAAATGTGTCACACGGCGTTTGATGTCTCTGAGCCTTATGAGTCCGGTTTATCTTTCACCAGACTCTTAATATCAACCAAGATATCCCGGTGTAGCATCCGCACTTGAGAGACCGCAAGCGGGGAGAATGTGAATCCGGTTGTGTTTTTTGCAACCCAAGTTCGCAGCTAGATAGATCAATTCGCCCGAGTGGGTTGTCTGGGAGTCTAAGCTTCAGTTTCGCAAGGGCCGGACGAGTATCAGCACTTATATTTCAGTACGTGTCATCTGACACCGAGTATCTGGAACCGGTCTTGACAATTCAGCGCCCACCTTACGATTCTCAGAACTTTCTGCTTTGGTGTCAGTGCCATAACAATTCGACACATGTAACGCCTGCTCGTTCCGACAATTGTGATTTAAGCGGTCACTGATTGGTGGCTCTGCAGAAGGATCACGACGATCCGGTGGCAATGATTGATAGTACTGTGGTGCCACGTGCCATAGAAGAACTCGTGTTGGCAACCGAGCCCCGTTTCGCGTTATTGCTGCTCACAAGAACCAATTGGAGCAGCGCGCTCTCCGTCCGTCTATCCGTCGTGCCTACTATTTGTCAATCGACAGCTGTCCGTCCGCCTCTCGCTTCCGTTCATTGTCCGCTGATTTTCCGTCCGCCCGTCCACTCACTCTTCCGTCCGTCCGTTGTCCTCGCTTCCCACCCCACCCCCCCCTTTCTTTGCGGTTTGTCTCCTAAAGCTTCCTTCTGTGTGGTTTCCCGACCTTCCGCTTTTCCCTCCTACTACTTTTCATTGTTCTTCTCCGCCTGTCTGCGGCTTGTCTGTGATGATCCGTCTCCACTTGTCTGCCCTTCCGCACCCCCTTTTGTGGTTTCTCCCTTCCGCTCCGTCGGTTCTACACGATTTCACGCGTTCGGTGCTGCTTGGTGCGTTTTCCGGCTGTCCTTGCTCCTCCGTTTGCCGATTCATTGCTTTCTCCCCGCCCTCCGTTCCTGGCAATTCTTGTGATTTGCGCCAGTCCCCTACGAACGAGTCTTCCTTTCCTGCTTATCGCCAGCTATGGATGCCCTTTCGAGGGTTAAGAAGGAGCTCGAGAATGGCTTTTTAGTAGAAGGGCCATCAGCTCTTGTACCTGAATCACTCCGCAAGCATAAGTCAGGAAGAAACGACTGGTTGGACACACAAAAGGTCTCAGTGGATCTCTTAGCGGTACCACATATCTGCGATGGCCCGTGGCCATGATGACCCTGTTTCCGTGCAAAGAAAGAAGGAATGACTCGACCTATCGTCGAGCCACCTTGATCTGCTGGAGGCCTCCATTTTTTAGATTGCAAAGTTTGCTGTCCGCAATTTCTTGACGCCGAATGCAGCTGGCGGGTACTATGACGCTAGATACCCTTCCCTATAACCGATTCCCTCCTTGTTTCCGCCGTGCTCAGCCGAGGTTGGTGTTCTATGTCTTGTTGGAAATCAGCTCGTAAGCAGTGCTTGTGTTGCTGATGAGCTGCATCGAGATTCAGGGCTGATCCAGCTGGAATCAGTTGCTTCAGGCACCTTCCTGCGTCACATGTTGCACTCTTTCAATGACCCGGTTGTACCGAAGTCTAGCCTGTAGGGCTTCTTCGAGCGCCCTTTCAAATGCAACCCTGAGAAAAAGTCGATTGCCTCAACAATTCTTGCGGAAGAGGTCGTCTTCTTCTTTTTCACTCGCCTCGTTGTGTTTTTAAGTGAGCATTCTTACCTCCCCGTTCTTTGCTAAGGGACACCATAGAGTTTGTCAGACACGATTGACGTAATCAAGTGGCAAAGATCGAGAGCCGATGATGCTTATTACGCGTCAACGGACTTCGGGGACTTTTCGAGCCATGTCATCTTGGTCATGTCATCTTGGTCAAGAGCGACTTAAAATGGTCAAACTTACCCTAAACCAAAACCTTCCTAGCGTTTGTGCGATCCTCCTTTCTTCTTACACTTGATTGGTCTTCGGTGGTAATGACAACTTCCCTTTGGCGAATGGCGTCAAGCACGGTCCTTGTTGAAATGCTCTTGCGTTCGGAGCCACAAATCTGCATCCTTTGATACTTAATACATTGGTCGGCCTCTCTGGTTCGTGCGGCCGATTCACGACATCCGGGATTTCTCTCACATGTACGGCACCACCTTGTCGTCCATCTCTTCTGAAAACCTCATTGGCATGTTGTGCGGGTGGCCGGGCGTGCTCTACTGCCCGAGGTGTAATGCTCGACGTTTCGTACAAGTAATTGGATCCCATATCAGGTCCGCAAATTACTTGAAGCAACGCCGTACTTCCAGTCTGCTGTTTCCGAGTGTCTGCCAAAGTCATCCTCGTTGTGTTGTCAGCAATTCCTATCCGGGTTTCATAAAAGCTGGACGCGCGGGCAACGATTATTCAAACCCCGCTCTGCTTTCAATCTTGGTTCGATGCACGCTCACCGACGCTGCCTTACGTCGAGAATGGCAAGGACTGTTAGAGCTTTTGGTGCCACGTGCCTCGTGCCACAGCTCCCTGTGCATTCTGAGCCCCGTTGCGCCATAGAAAGGTTGCCAAGCAACGCAATTCCCGTCCGTCCGTCCATCCGTCGTGCCGTTTTTTCGTCCGTATTCCATCCGTCCGTCCGCCAGTCCGCTCACCTTTCCGTCTGTCCGTCCCTTCACCCGTCCGTCCGTCCGTCCGCTAAACCTTCCGTCATTCTGTCCGCTGACCCTTCCTTCCGACCTTCTCTTCACCCTTCCGTTCATCATATCGCGCTCCCATGCGTCCGTCAGTCCATCCGCCTTTCCGTCCGTCCGTCAGTCGGTCCGCCTGTCCATTCGTCCGCCCGTCCGCCTTTCCGTCCGTCCGTTCTTCGTCCGTTCGTTACTGTTCCGTCGGTACTTTCGCTTGCCGTTCCGTCCTTTCCTCTCGCGCACCCTTCCGTCCGTCCGTCGTCCGTCCGTCCGCCCTTCTTACCGGAACCCACTTTTCGTCCACTTTGCTCCTGATCCACTCTTTCCTCTGCCGTTGCCATTTATATCCGTCCATTCTTCCGTTCTACCACTTGTTCGTCTCTGTTTCTCTCTTTTCGCCCGCCCTCGTCCGTATGTCCCTCCGCTCCCATCGTCTGCTATTCCTCCCTTTCTTTTGTTCCATCCGTATTCCAATTCCTCGTTTGGTTCCTCGTTCGTGCGTTAGCTGAAAGTTTCGTCCGTTCGATTTCTTGCTCTTCGGTCCGCCTGTCCGGCAGCCTTTTCGCTTTCGTGCAAAACTAAGTCCTCTTTTCGTGCTTGATTTGGCTTCTAATCAGCTGTACAAAGACCAACGTGAATCTTTATTTTGTGTGGATCTTGGTTGAGACATGTTTTCGCCGCTTCTGGGTGGCTCTCTTGAAGGTCAAGAGGAGGTCGCGACTGGCGGTCCAGTGAGCGCCAGTTGTCGCTGACACCGAACCAGTCTGCAAGCATAATGCCATGTCGAACTTTACAACCGGGCAAAGCGGAAAAGCGGTATACGTCTGTTATTGAGAATCATAGGATAAGACCAGTTTCGTGATAGGGTCGGTGAGAATGATTAAGTGCTTGTTGGGGCTCATTTAAACTCAGTCGAAACCTCGTGCTATGTGTGAGCCACCTGATTTGCGGCAGGCTTTCTGTGGTTCAACTGCGTGCTGTTTTGAAAAATCACAGCATTTGACTTACGATTTTGAAGAGTGCGCTGGAAGCAGTTGGCAGGGGCTGCAATGTGCTATTTGGCAAACGTGAGAGTTCAATCGGCTTCAAATCCTTGATTAATACGTGGAGAGATTTGGCTGCGCAATTGCCATCGCCAGGCATTGTATCAGTACTGCTGGAGTACAGACTCCGGCAAGCTTCCAAGGTTGAAGTGCGATACGGCAATATATACTGACAAAGAACTTGTGAACTTTCTCTGAAATGGAAATGGTCGCTACAACGCGGCGGCCGAATCAGATCCCACGCTTCAATGTCCTGGAATCGGACACTGTCGATAAGAAGATTCTGCTCGCGCGACATAAACCCCTTCTCTCTTCCTAGGATTCCATTTCGTTTGACCCGTGATGCACAGCTGTGCGTCGCTCGCGTTCTTATCTCATGAACGTTGCTCTCTTTTGCAGGGTCCAGGTGATACGCTATGGCCAACTTCCGAGCTGTCCACCTCCGTATCCACCGTCTGCGCCGCCTTCGACTCCTCTGCCAGCCAATCCGCTGACGCCACGTCATCAAATCCCGCCACATCATTCGGCAGAGTCTCCGTCCTCGCTGGCCTCCTCGCCTCGCTGACCCACGCATCCCCCCCCCAAACCCGCAGCGAAATCACCCCCCTGGTAGTGCAAACCGCTGCTCGGATGATTCAGTCCCAAAACGGTAGACCGAGCCCCTGGTTAGGATCTCCCGCCTCCAAACTAGTCCTGCAAACCACGGTTAAGTGCTTAACCTCGGAGGGTTCAGGCCCCGAAAAGTCGACGTCCCTGGCGCTTCGAGGAGACCAGAACGGGGATAAGCTACCGGGCAGCGACGATAAGCTACCGGACGCGCTTCCCAGCTTATGCCAGGCGGTCGTTTCCCCCGGGGAACAGCTCCTTGTCAGTACGGTCCTGTCTCAACTCCTGTCGCGGCTCCCGATTGACTCGTGGGAAGGTCGGGTTATGCAAAACCTGGCCTTTGCGGAGCTGGTTAGGTGTCTACCGGCCGCTCCTACCGGGCAATTGGAAGCCGTTCTGGGGCTGCTGAAGGCGCTGGTGCAGAGGTCGGGGGAGATTGCTGGGAGACTGGTGGAAGCGGGATTAGTGCAAGCTTTGACCAGGTTAGTATCTACTAATTGTTATGTGTTTACTTCAGAAATATTGCAGGGCATGAGGGGGCAAGGGCATATTACACCCCCCCATTTTAAAAGGAAAAGTGTAGTCGTGCATGGAACGACCCAAGTAGGTCTATGCAGGATAGAAGCAAAGTTGGCATGTTCGGCTCTTGCTCTTTTTCTTGTCTTGCATGGCTCGCACAGTGCTCCTTTCCTCGTCGCCTTCCAAGCCGTTATTAAGCACTTAGCCCTGCTTTCGGTTGAGTAAGCGAGGGAAGGTGTGGGCAGGAGCTCGTCGTTTGGAACTCAACTTGTCACTCGGGCACGTTATAGGTGAAAAAAAGGCAGTTCTAGGTCACCTAGACTGTTTCTAGATGCATCGAAATCAAATCCTAGGTGTTCCAGATTCTGAAGCATACTTTCCCATATCTGCAGTCTCGGTCAAGCACATCCCCCTCCCTCTCCCCACGGCCCATTCTCCCTGACCTGGGACCAAACCCCGCTTAACCCAGACCAAACCTGGGGTTCCGTAACAGCCCTCTTAGCCGCCCTTCCCATAAGCGTTCCTCGCCGCTACCACGTCGAAGAAAAGCTAGAGGCGGCTGTCGCCGCGCTTGGCCCTTCTCTCCTCCAATCTTTGACACCGCCGATTGCAGACCCCAGCGTGCGGCCCAGGATGAGCATCTCTAGTGTCAGAGCGGCTCTTCACTCCGCCCAGTTACTTGCCCGGTTACACCAACCGGGGGCGACTTTGGCAGCCGTTCTGGGCCCCCGTTTCGTGAGTGCGATTGACCGAGCGACGTCACAGACGCTCCATTTCGTGGCGCAAGAAGGGCTGTGCGGGGGGAACCCAAAGAAAGGACGCGCGCATGTGGGGTGCATTGTGGAGACGCGAGAGGAACGGGCGCTGGCCAGAACGGAACCGGATATTCCGGCGGAATCTGCTCTGAGGGGCTGGTTCGGTGTCGTAAGCGCGTGGGCGAAGGAAGAGTCCTCGAAACGGTCGATGCAGACGCAAGAAAGAAGCATGACGTCACAGCCCTCAAGTGTGAACGTGTCGGGTATAAGCCGAGAGCAGGGGGCATACGCTATGCGGGCGGGGCCGTCCGCTTATACAGAGGCGCTTGCGGATGATGTGTACCTTTTAGGAGAGGTGTTGGCGCGGTATACGGCGGTGCGGATCGGAGAGGCGCTGAGTGGGGCGGGGAGACACGTGTCTGGGGGATCCCCCCCGCCAGAGCTTCCAACCAGCGAGACTCTGCATGCCCTTCAGGTGAGCTTAAAGGGCCCGTAGGACATGCATGTCCATCCTATATCATCTTTCGTGCAGGGAGCCGAAAGTAAGTGTACTTTTGATACGTTTGGTCCACAAAAGACTCAGGGACATTGGGTGTACACTTCCTGAGCTTGTCAACCTACGGACTGAAAAGTTCAATCTTTTCAAGGACTGCCTCTTCGTACTTGTGCCTAAAATTTTAGCTCCTCGCTCCTCGTTGTCGCAATACCGGAAATCTTGCTTCAAATGTTGATTCATGCAAGCGGAAGGTAGTCCGCTGACTGCAACCCTCCTCTGAAACAGGACCAGTGTATGTTCCTTTGCTCCTGTCCTCGCCCCGTTCCACTTTCTCCGGGGCTCACGTTTGGCCGTCCTTATGTCCCATCTGCTCGCTCCGTAGTCGAGCATTGTAGGGCCATGAACATATACGTAACGATCCATGAAAGAGCAAATTATACATCTGCCAGCATTTGCCGTGTCCAGCAGTCTGCTTCTAACTCTGATTCTTTTGCCGTTCTCTTCACTCCGAGGCCGGGTTTCCGCCCTTCCCTTTCTGCGTACTTCCGTTCGTTATGCACTTCTGTGCCAAGAAGGTCTGATCCGCGAACCATGGCAAGCGGAAACCAGACCTCTGACAGCAATTGTCGTTGTCCGACAAGACCAGTGTCTGATTTTGGTGAATAATATAACGCACGCTCCTGGTGCAGATGCTTACGAAACTGGTTTTTGTTTCCTTTTCTAATCTGGTTGCCCCCGCTTCTTGCCCCGTTTCCCTCCCTCCGGGACCCAGTTCTTGCCCTGCTGGACCTACGTGTTTCATACACTCGATGCTGAAATTCCAGAAAATGGACTCAAACAATTCAACTCTTGCAAAAGAGAGTCAGTCTTCTGACGCCGCTTTTCTTGCTAACAAGGCCAGTGTTTGCTTCTCGCTCCGGTCCTTACCCCCTTCCCCACTCCGGGGCCCACTTTGGGCTCTCCTCAACCTGCGTATCCCAGCCTTGTTTCTCCGCAGTAATGACTTTACACGCGGAAAGGGAAGTCGGTCTTCTAATGGCAACTCTTTTTCAAACAGGACCAATGTCTGCTTCTCGCTCCGGTCCTCGCCCCGTTCCCTTCCCTCCGAGGCCCTGTTTTGGCCCTTCTCGATCTGCGTATTTCGTTCCACAACTGCTCCAGTCCTTACGATGGAATCACAATAAAGGATGCACGTAGAGCAGGCGTCACTTCTCTGACGGTTACTTTCTGTTCACAGGACCAGTGCCTTCTTCTTGCGCCGGTTCTCGCGCCGTTCCCCTCCCTCCTGGGCCCAGTTCCGCCCTTCTCTACCTGCGTACTCCATTCTTCGCTCCGCAGATGGTCACTGTCGTGTAGCGAAGCTAAGACCCGTCATCCATGCAAAGCGGCAAACGTCTGACTGCGTGTTCCCTTTTAACAGGACCAATGCCTTCTTCTTGCGCCGGTTCTTGCCCCGTTCCCCTCCCTCCTGGGCCCAGTTCCGCCCTTCTCTACCTGCGTACTCCATTCTTCGCTCCGCAGATGTTCACTGTCGTGTAGCGAAGCTAAGACCCGTCATCCATGCAAAGCGGCAAACGTCTAACTGCGTGTTCCCTTTTAACAGGACCAATGCCTTCTTGTCGTGCCGGTTCTTGCTCCGTTCCCCTCCTTGCGAGGCCCTGTTTTGGCCCTTCTCGACCACGCTTATCTGCTAGAGGCTTCCGTCAACCAGCTGTTTGGAGCGCACCCCTCCAAGCTACGGGCAGAGTCGGCGGCGAAGCACGTCAAAGCGGCGCTTACAGGTCAGGACGTCACTCTTTTTTGTTGCGGCCCATATTCGGAACATATGCAGTTTATTGTAAGGATTTCTGCCGACTGGCACGCCCATGAGGTCGGTTCCAGTGGAAAATATGGTGTTCGTGAACTCTCTTATTCAACTTAGACCGTATCTGTTGACACAGATTGTGGCAGGCTGCTCTGGAGTGGAGTATTTGAAACTGGGGCTATCAAGGGCTTGGTGGGGTGAAGGAACGAATGGACCAGCCTGATGAAACCCTCGAAAAGAAGGGGACTCAATGGTCCACCTTTTAACCTGAGAAGGCCTGATTATTAAGAAAAACCATCTCAACAACTGTTCTCGTTCGACTCTTGTTTGTTCTACCTGAACTGCTGGTGAGCTTTCCGGGCAGCTCATTCAGGCGCGAAGGGAAAATCTCAAGATAAGTCTCCAACCTGGATGTTGATAGCGAATGTTGCTGCGGAGCGCTCAAAATACCCTGGAAATGGCGAGCACTCTATTCATGCCTCTACTTTCGTAGCCGGAGTTGCGGAAGCCCGTAGATCTTCGATTCTTCTGTTATGCAAGCGCGAAGCTGTATGTTGTTGTACCGACTCGTTCGTCGCGTCACTGACTTGTCCGCTCCTTCTTCTCCCCAGCTCTTCGTCAACAAGGTTCACCAGCTAGTAGCGATACTGCTCGAGCTGTCGAAAGTGCGGCCCGGCAAATGTATCCACAAGCGGTGGAGCAATTCTAGTGGGCATCTCAATTGTTGGGCCGAGTCGACCAATGATATCCTGAGGCAGGTACAACACTGGTACGGCAATTTATTCCGGTGGCATGATAAGCAGAGTGTGTCAAACAGCGGCCTAAAGATCTGCATAATGCAAGCTGATCCATCCATGGGGAACCTGTGCCTGATTCGTCATTATCGCATGTATGGCCCTGACGACCTGACAGCTTTCTGGCACGGACAGAATCATGCTCTTCATATGGAAGTGATTCAGCGCAAGCTTTTTTAGGTTTGTTTTGTGAGATTGGGAAACTGTCGGAAATGTTGAAGGATATTTTTCGCCAACTTTGTTAAGATTCACCGTTCAATCGCATCCAGCTACGTGAGGTAACAATTCGATATGCAATGAGGATACGTTCACTATAAACATGCACAAACACACGGCTCGATCGACAAAGTACAATTTGAACATTTGGCTATCTCACCTATATATTGTATGTGTGTCTTTTAAGTTCAGCATGGCCGCTCCGCAGGGCGGGCAGCCCGGCCACCCACCCGCCGCATAAATGTAGCTCGGAGAACCGCAATTTATAGCTTGCTAGTTTTGTCGGATCGTTTGGACGGATTGAACTTGAACACCTGGAGTAATCTCGGTAGGGTACTAAGCTAGGCGTTTAAAACTCAGACAAATGTGATCCCATGTATGCCATGGAAGCCTATACGACTGTCGTAATCACTGACAGTGGCCCACGCGTCGCTACGGTGCCGGTGTTTGAAAAGAGATCGATCACATCGTGCGCATGGCTGCCGCCAACGACGGTTGGCGCGCCGCCGGCCGGGCCCGGCGCTTTAACGGTACTAACATGTTGTGCCCAACATTGAATGCATGGATCTCACTGGCCCTTGTGCGTAAGGTTTGGCCGGCGGCTAGGTTCAATTAAGGTTCAAGCGGAATGAGTCACTGATGCATAGGCCCCTAGATCGGAATGTGAAATCCATTCAATGATTAATATCATTGCAACGCATGCATGATTACCAACAATTTGCGTACGCAGTCTCCTTTTTAAACTGCAAAAGTAGCGAGACTGCAGATCGGACTGCAAGATGTAGTACCGGCGCGTACCTCGATACTACTTGATTACGGGTCATTAATCCTGCTATATGTTCATGAATATCGAATCTCGGTCATCACCCTCTGAGTCTAATGCGGAATAGATTTGAGCGATTGTCATGCAGTCCCTAACATACTAGAATGCAGAAAATATGAGGCACCTGTCGATGATTGGGTCACGTGAGGCACATTGCCTACTGAAGAGAGTAGTAGCTATATATTAGTAGCAGATAGCCCCGCTAGGATAGCACGAGGCAGGCTCTCTTCCGTTCATGTTAGTCGAACCGAAACATACGCATTCTCCTCTAAATCAACATGCTTCAGCGAATTAAAAACCTCACGTCGACTGCGCATCGATCGCTAACGTGCAAAACATTGCATGACAGTTCTCTTGCTTCGTGAGACGTTCTCAACAGCCACGTGTCAAGTTCCGTACGTTTTCTCCAACTACGTCAGCTGTTCAAACTACCACAATTGCTCGCGGTGCAAGCATTGGTTATGGAAAATTGTATCTTTCACAATGAACTAAACATTTGAGAGGTCGAGGTCGCCCTTGCTCCTCTCTTGTCCTGAAGCTGCCTTGATAGGGGCCGTCGGAGGACCCTGATCCTCTCGGCGACCACTCACGAGTCTTTGCGCTGTGACGGTCGCTCAAAATCCATGTGGGCTGAGAACCGCAATGACACTCGTCTTCAAACCACATTGGGGGACGCCCGTTCAAATCACGCCAGTCAAGTACGGAAGTGAGTGGAACCGCATCCCGCCATTGGGCATCAAGGGCACCTCCGAACAGTCTGCCTAGCACTTGGGTAGATTGACGGACGGCTCACTACTACGGTCCGAGTTCAACATAAACCGAAAAGAAATGCACGAATTACGGGCCTCCAGCTAGAACCTTATACGACGACCGGTGCAAGGGCGCCAGCAAAGACCCCGACGTCCCGCTATTCAATCTCTGGCTGGGAAGATCCCTTGCAAGCAGATGATGCAGTTGAGAGTGGTGTACGGTTGCATGTTGTTGTGGGGGATCCCCCCGCCTGCCACCGTGGTCTGCAGGCCAAAAGTTTTGGTACCGCCAGTCGTGGTGGGTACCACAACGCCCGTGTTGGGAGGGCTAGACGTCAGTGGGGCGCCCGAAGCCTGTTGCAGCACAGTGGTGGTGTGGCCGCGTACCGGGAGCCCGTCCGGAGTGAGACTCACGGTCTCTGAGCCTCCAGAATCCCCAACCATGTAGCCTGCGAGAAAGTGAACGTTACTAGTGAGAGGACGTCAACTGAAGGCATTTCTGGACGTCATGGTTTGTGCGTGAATCGGAATCCCGGCCAAAGTGAGCCGTACGGTCTCTGAGCCGTCAAAATCCCCAAGCGTGTAGCCTGCGAAGAAGAGAACGTTTACTTCGGATTTGATGAAATCTGATTCTGATTCCCGGAAAGTGCGGAAGACGAAGCTCGTCGGACAATTTCATGTCCGGAAACTGGTCAAAAAAACCCATCTGCAAACAACTCTAGTTCAGATGCTAGGATGTTTGGAGACGCCAGGTGGAGTGTGAGAGGACGTCAACTGAAGGCATTTCCGTACGTCATGCAAGGCTGTTGAGATTAGGCGCAAGAGCGCTTCATGACTTTGGGTGTCACGATGTGTGGAAGGGCAGATCCGTTTCGGTGAGATCAAGACCGGACCGGCACGTTTCGAAGTCGTTTTGACCACGCTCGAAGCCTGGAAATCACTCATGAGGAGGTCAGGGGAGTGATCATTTCTCGTCTGGTTTGTCAACGGTTATAGGACCTGAAAGGTTAAACCATAAATCGAGACCCGGTTTTCAGCACAGTTTTCAGTACTGGTAGGAAGGATTCGGTCCGGCACCAATTCGGAAAAGGGGACTTTCCAGTTGATACTGATCTTAATACAACTGGGGGTGTATTTTCAGAGCGTATATGGTCTTAAAAAGGGGACTTTTCAGTCGGAAGCGTACTTAAACTCGTTGTATGACCGTTCTTAAACCCGGGTCCGGATTTATGAAGCTTGCTAACGAACTGGGTTGGATACCGGTGAGGAACGGTGGCTGGCACGTTTTGGCAAGGGAATCACCTGGTGCTTCGCTCCACCTACATTCGGGAGTTTGTGCACCCAGTGTACTGATTTGATTCTTCTATCAGGTTTCGGTGTCGGTCGCTCAATGTGATCCCAGTTCTGATGAGAAGCTATGAGTACAAGTAGGCAGGTATGCAACAAAAGGAGAGGACGAAAGAGGCTTCAACCAGCTTCCACGAAGCTTTACTCACGACTTTGCATAGTCCTCTCCAATAAGGCTTTGATCTCACCAAGTGACTAGCCAAAACTTGGTAGGAAGTACCTCAACTTTTGAGCGCAAGCATAAAGAGACAGAGGCGGCTACTCCGGGGAGCCTTGAGCAATACAGGATAACACTAGGTTTAGGTTGTCAGGTAACCAACGCAATGGCAGCTGTCTCAGTGCTTGCCAGCAAGTCCTCCAGGCAATTGTCAATCACGTCATTCAAAACTACATTCAACAGAGTTGCGAAGAAGTTTTCCTTCAGCTCACCATCTACGTCTGTATCCGAAATGCTCGTCCCGCAAACAATTGTCTAGAAATCAGAAGATGAGGTTGCCAGGGAAGTGATTCTGCAGGTGGGGGTTGTCCTATTCGGGCTCACAATGGTGGCTATTCTAGGTTTTGTTGGTAGCTCTTCTATGTTCAGAAGGCGCTATAGGGCAAATCCTCCGTAATAACAAACAAGCCGTGTGTGATGCTGGTCATAGAGCATACCTACACCCAAAAAAAACTCATGAGACTTGGATGGGAAGTGTTCTTGCCTTTCTCTTTAGCATGGGTTGTTTTTGTTTCAGGAGTGGGCCTACCTGATAGCCCAGGACCCTGTCCCACGCCGACAGGAATGCGGCCTTGCATGTTGGGAAGAGCAAAGGTTTGCCTGCCGTCCCCCCCGGAGGTTGTGCCGATGAGAGAAAATTAAGCCGGATTTTCGGAGATTTGCATCAGCTGTCCGTCGCAGAATGCCCAATTCCTTGGTGCGTAGGTAAATGCTACCCAGCAGATTTGGCCGATGAATGGATCTGCGGCGTCGCCTGCAATGGTAATGTTCAAAAAGACACCGCCGTTCAGTATTCTGACTCTGCCAGGAGATTTCTGCCCTAGTGTCTTGGCCATAAAGTGAGAGAAAAGGTAGCGTTTTTGAGGATTGTTATGCAGGTCAGGGTCAGTTTGTGCTCGCCTCCTGAGTACCGCTGGTTTTGTTCGTGAAGTCAAAGTCCTAGGTTTGACAGAAGCAAAGAGTTTCCTGCAACTGCAGAGACTGGAGCACCAAGCACACCATGTTCTTTCCAGTTCCATTGACACCAAACATTTAAAGAGGGCACGTCCTTTAAAGAGGGCACGTCGTGAAGTCATTCACTTGGATCGACGCTGCAGGTTGGTCTTCATAACGTCACTGAGGTCTTCAGCAGGAGCTTGAGCACAATGAGACACTTGGGCGTACGAGCTCACATGCAGATGCGGTTGGAACATTGCCGCAGCACAGTGCACAAATGGCCATCAGGACCGTCCCAAGCGGTTGCAGCCCCAGACCCCTGGCCCGCCCCATGCTGTCAACGTTGACCCTTAACCCTTAACCCTTAACCCTCCAACTGTTGCAGCACAGAACACCTGTTTTACAAGTTTGTTCCCCACCGTCTGAGGCCTGGTCTTGACTAGAGGCGACGACGACTACCAATGCTGCAGCTTAACATACAAGAGGATGGCAAACGTCTGTTTTGGCGCTCCTCGTTGAAACCCTGTCTTATGCAGCATGATGTTGCTGGCAGGTGCTTTCCCCATGTCACAAGGCCCAAATGTAAGCTGAAGGAGATACCTGGTCGGGCAACGCCTGCTTGAATTGGGTGACTTTTTTGCGTACCGGTCACACCCAAATCCTGCAGGCAGCTCAGTGCTAGCACTATATCTGCAGCATTGAGGGATTCGCCCTGGGGGGCTCCAAAAGAAACTTTCGAGTTTTTCAAGCTAGCTGGCTGCTGGAGGCTCAGCTGGCAACCTCTAGCTAGCGCTGAAGCTGATTAAATCGGAGCTTAGGGCTGGTGACCCGGCCGGATCTCTAATTAGGTAGTGGAAGCAACTCTTCTTTTCATATATACGGGGTTTCTGAGCGCTGGCGATAAAAGGGCGGGGAAAGTGGAACTCTTCAGGCCCGATGATAGGACCACGCCATTGGCTTGGGACATTGGCGAAGATCGGCCAGTGATAACGTGGATTGTCTAGACTCTAGACTCTAGACTCTAGAGTGGATAGGTAACCTTTTTACACCTCTGAGCCTGAGCATGATTTTGATGTGTGTGGCAGAACTGTCCGGACTCCGGAGCCACTCCGGGCAAGCATGGATCTGTCACCTGTGACTCTGAGAACATGAAACTTGAAAGCAAGGACCGATGA